TCAGGAGATGCGCAGAAGTTGGCACACTAGAAAAATTATGCCTAATAATCTTCTTTTGTTTCTATGCACAACTAGGGGAAGTAAACACTAGCGTTCTTCAATGGGGGTATCTGGTTGTTCACTCAAACAGAAAATCCACAAACAAATGCAAGAAAACTTGACCTATAGGTCTACTGTTCTAGCTCTTCCCATTAGATGGGATTGAGAAAACATTTGGTAGATCTAAGTAATAACAGTTAATACGTCTATCAATAATGCATTTTGTCAAGCAGTACAAATCAATCAATGTCCTACAACAGATCATTTCAAATTTATTCATACTTGAATACAAGCACATTTCAAAAAGAAAGCAATTGCCCATCGCAATTATATTAATGATTACTTTAAAACTTAAAAAAAAAAAAAAAAAAAAAATTGAATTAACTTGCAGGAGCCTTTCAAAATACATCCCTGTTTGCAAAAAATCCTCAAATAGTGAGTGTTGAAAGGGGAGCAGTCAAAGATGTAGTGTTACTGAACTACATAACACAAACATATAAGAGCACATTCACCTTTCAGAAACACAAGTAGAAGACAGTTGGATCTTACTGATGATCTATCTTGATACCAGAAAGGTTCACTGATAATTAATCAGACGTGTTTTAAGTTGTCAGCTAAAGTACCATTTTAGACAAAACTGTTCGGGATAGGCAACTGCATTGTTGTACAACAATGTGGACACTCTGGACACTGCAGAGAAAATAACATGGTATTAAAATAATTTCTGATAAATACTCCAATAATACCGGAGATTTTCTGAACCAACTAAAATCAGACTAGTCTTTAAAATGCAAATTAGCTCTCATTATTTATGTTATTCTAATAACAGCCAAAATTGCAAACTAAACATGCTTTTGCCTCCAGTAAGCAATGTCCTCTTTTCATGCTGACAGGTAACCATAAGAACTGATGCAGGGTCTCCTGACCACTTGGAATACACTAACTCACTGTAAATTTCAGATTTACTACTGCTGTCAGTATGCCTAACTGTAGTAAATTTGGAATGTTTAAAGAACCAAAGGCAGACTTCTCAGTAGACTTAGGTTGAAAACATTAAAAAAAAAAAAAAAAAAAAAAAAAAAAAAAAAAAAAAAGCCAATCGAGCTTTAACCTATGTGGAATTAACTTTTAAATGTCTTTTTTTCTTTTTTAAAATCAGTAGTTATTCTTGATAAAAATGGAGAAAACATTTGCTACTTAACTTTTACTTTTACTAATTCAATGAAAATGTATAAACTAGCATGTCATTGTCCTGTTTCTTCAACAAATCAATTACAAATATATTACTGTTGAAATTATTTGGCATGGTCAAACAGATGTTTATACCTTAACCAAACGAATCTGTAGTTAAATTTACTGGTACAAATCCATCTCTACTAGCATTTTTCCACAATTTGTAAGACTCAAAGCTGCTCAAGTTTAGATGCATGCTTTTCTCTATCATCCTGGCAGACATGGTTTGTAACAAGGTTATCAGAGAGCAGCATCATGCTCCAGCAAAGGACATTTGAATTTCTCTCAGTAACATTGATATGTATGAACTTCTCTGCTACATAATCAGCCTACCCTTTCAATTTTCTAATATCAAATTTAAAGGAAGCCATGAACTTTTAATACTGAGCAAAAGTGAAGCATGTAGCAAGCTGAATGCTAGAAGAGATGCTAGTTCTTTATATACATATATATACACACACACAATATGCCCACATTTATTAAGAAAAAGTAAAGTTTCATGTTTACATAAAACTTAAACAAAAAATAAAAATAAAAAAAAAAATGTTTACAGAATGAGGGTGAAGGATAGGACAAGAGAAAGGCCCCACAGTAAAAGATGAGAAAAGGGTTTCACAGGGACTGAGGATAGGGGAATTTAGCGATAGTTCACAGAAGCAAATATGTAGAGGTTGTTAGAAGAGTGGGGATAGCAGACACTGGGTCTGGGACAATGAGGGAGATGGAGGCCATAAGGATAAGAGTTTGAGAACACCCTGAGGACATCTGGCAGTGAGAGGATTAGATGTCAATCTATCATCTAGATGATGGCAAGCAAAAACCAGTTTGGGGGCTTCCCCTCCCGCAAGTCAGAAGCCTGCAGCGAGGAAGACCACAAGCCTTCACAAGGAAGACTATGATTCTTCATCCCACAACCCACTACACATGCACACGGGTAGAGGGTCTGCATGCTAATGGACTCTCAGGAATGTAATGAATATGTATCCAAATTCCTGGAAAACAATTGATTATGTATTAGTTCAGCTTATATCTGCTTATATCTTTTATATCTGACCTCATTGCTCTCTATAACTTCCTGAAGGGAGGTTGTAGTGAGCTGGGGGTCGGCCTCTTCTCTCGTGTCATTAGTGATAGGACCAGGGGGAATGGCTTCAAGCTACGGCAGGGGAGATTCAGGCTGGACATGAGGAAGTATTACTTTTCAGAAAGGGTGGTCAGGCACTGGAATGGACTGCCCAGGGAGGTGGTGGAGTCACCGACCCTGGGGGTGTTCAAGGAAAGGCTGGATGTTGTGTTGAGGGACATGGTTTAGTGGGAGCTATTGGGAATAGGTGAACGGTTGGACTGGGTGATCTTTTAGGTCTTTTCCAACCTTGGTGATTCTATGATTCTATGATTCTATGCTTTTTCCTCACGGTGTGCAAATTAGGAGGATCTATCAGTTTGATTTCCGCATGTCAAGGGTACAATTCTGACCAGCACAGAAAGACTTAGCTTCTGTGGCACAAAAACAACAAGAACAAAAAAAAAAACTGAGCTAGAAAATGTCTTTCTAACATATCCCATTATTAGCTTCCTTCTCTTGGCCTATGATGCTCATCAGTGTGTCATCTCAATGTTTACATGGGCCACATTCATGCCAAAAGATGATGGCATGCTTTGTTTGTGTTTTGTTGTTTATTTTTTTCCTGTATCATGGTCACTCTAATAACATTTTACCCTCCATTTTGTCTTTAGTCAACTCCTCTGAAAATACTGCAAAATTTACATCAAATGAGCCTCTACCATAAGAATTTATATAGATACAGAAATTTTACTGAAATTTCTGTTTCACTAAATTTCACTAAATTTATTATTTAAATTTTCAGTTTGAGAATCCAAACCAAACTTGGTACGTCTGGCTTCTAATTACATTGTTTTTCTTAACATGAAGATTATTATTCCAGGTCAAAGAAGGAGTTTAGGAAATCCACAATGTACCTGTACTCCAGATGTTCTAAAATTTAGGTAGAAATAGTTGATATTCACACAGATAACTGCCAACAAAAAGTATCTATTGTTATGACATGATACTCCTTTTCCCAAATCCAGAGATACATCTAAAAGTAATACTTCCTCTCATTGAAATCCTCCTGGATGAAGCTGACAGTGATCATCTTAGCTTGAAACATGACGAATGGACAAGGAAAATCAGAGACCTATATGAATGTGTGCATCTGGGAAAAGAAATAGCCTTGCTCTGTATTTGTTAGGACAAAATCTGTAATATTTATGAATTATGGGCTATATACACGATATTCCAAAGCTATATTTATCAACCACCACCAATGAACCAACGTTTCCTTTTCTTGTCAGCCTGGGAGATGTTATAAACTTATCTTCCCACTAGGAATGGAAAAAGTGACTGTAATAATTCTTGATTGCACGTACTATAAAATATAGGAGGAAGGATGCAGAATAGTTTAACATGATGATATCAATGGTATTTTATTCTCATTTACATGGAGAATAGAAAGAAAAAACATCAGTGTGTATCAAGTTTATACAGGAAGGTTTGTGGGCAGGGCACAAGGGGGCGCTGCAGAGATTAGCATCTTTGAGAACAGCCCAGAAGCTGCCCCGTGTAAGACTGGAGCCAGCTCCAGCCAGTTCCAAAAGGAATCCATCACTGGCCAGGGCAGAGCTACTGAGAAAGGAAAAAAATTCTGTACAACAGCAGCCCACAGTGCAGAAGGTAGATGTGGCCTGAAAGAGGACGCAACCCATGGAGAGCTCCCACAGGAGCAGCCCCAGACCAGAGCTGCAGCCATGGAGTCGGTCTGACAAAAGTCGCAGACCCAAGGGGATTCATGATTGAGAAGCCCATTCCTGATGTACTGCACAACCCCCATGGTACAGACCCATGTTGCAGCAGTTCTTAAAGAGCTACAGTCTGTGGGAAGCCCACATCAGTCTATTTTGGGAAGGACAGCATCTCATGGGAAGAAACCCATGCTGGAGAAGGGTAGAGAGTGACCATGAAGGAACAGTAGAGATAAAGCATTCTGGATTGACCGCAGCATCCATTTCTCATCATTTCCCATTCCCCTGCAGCACCCAGGGAGAAGAATTAGAAGAAATTGGATGGGGGGATGTTTGCTTCTAGTTCCTGCTACTCTAGTCTGTCTGTTGGCAATAAATAACATTAATCTCTCTACCTTGTTTTGCTCATGGTGGTAAATGATGAGTGATCTCTTTCTCTTTATCTCAACCTGTAAGCTTTCTTTTCATTGTACTTACTCTCCCTGTTCTTTTACAGATGAGGAGTGAGAGAGAAGCACAAAGGAGCTTGGCTGCTTATCACACTGAAAACCACAAAATGCAGAAAATTTCACTCATAACAATAATATCATTGATAATGATTTATCACTGCAAATAAAGGTCAAGTCAAACAATTTTAAGTATGGAAATCCAAAAATGGCTCCTTATCTCCCAGTGCCACAGAAAATAAAATTTTTCTGTTTGTTTAGTCTTAACTAAATTACATTCTTAACAAAAGAGGACATAACAATCAGGCCTTCCACATCCATGCGTATGTCCCTTGAAAGTCCAATTAAAAGGCAGCAACTACAGTCTGCTCTTAATATGCAACCTCTTCACATTTAGGAAGAAGCTGGTAATGCTTCTATATCAGTATAATAAAATTGTTTTTCAGGCAAGAAAAGAAAAGAAACACTAGTAGAACTCACCACAACTCCAAACTGCTCTGGCTCAGACAAATTATTGTACTCATTCTTGAACTTTGACAACGCATTCAGTTGTTCTTGCTCTGGAAGATGTTTTATTAAATTCTATCAAGAAAAAGAAAGTAGATTTAGAAATCTCAGATTCTGCATTGCTTATATAATTGCATGTACGCAGTATTACTTATGTTTTATTAACATAAATTCTAAAGATAACACTGCGGTACCAAGGTTGGTAGAATGCAAACAGGTAACATACAAATTGACGTAACAAAGTGTAAAAAGCAAGTGACTACCATCAGCTGCTGTTTCCATCAATGTATATGTTTCTGTAGCCTTTTTCCAAAATAGAATTAAAAAAAAAAAAAAAAAAGTTCGGCTGGCATTATGCAAAGAAAACTAAAGTAAATAGGACAAGGAACAAGTAACACACCTAACTAAAGGATGGCAAAAATCATTAGTGGAAATGGATAGTTTATTTTCTAGTATTTAAAACAAAACAAAAAAAAAAAGATTGTAAAGTGATGACAGGTAACATCCATATTTACAAAACTTTAAACCCATTAGACACTACTTAGCCTACAAACTCGTAAGAAATAGGATTTCAGAGGTAGGTCTCAGCTTCAGCTGAATTCAAGAGGTCATGTTCACTTTCGTAAGTGAATGTCATTTCAACACAGAAGTCTAAACATGTCACCCTACACCTGATCATCTAAGAAGTCTTCAGATTCCCTGAAGCTTCCTGAGCACTTAGGCACCTATGCTTATATATGGACTTCTGCATTCCACTCTAATTACCAGGTAAGTAGTAGGTACAGTGAAAATGACTATTCTGAGCAAGTTCTGGAAGACAGCTTCTCAAAGATCCAATTATGCCTAAATTTGACAGCTAGTAGCTCAGTTCTGTCCTTTCTCAAGATGTCTGCTATAACTACTAGGCTATATTCAGGCTATACAACTACTATATTCAGGATTCCTCTATCCAGCTTTCTTACTCATGTCATGAATCCTGTGTTCCTGGTTACACAGAGGCTAAGCTTCCATCATAGTATGAAAACAAGAGAAAGATTGCCTTCTTACTTAAAACACTCCCTCAACTAGTAGGAAGGACAGTATTCTGAACTGGAATAAGGATACAATCATTCTAATACCACATCAGGTCTAGCGATCACAATTCTCCCACTACCTATTGCCATATTCTGAAGTTAAATAACTAGACAATACTTCATCACTGTTTTTACTGTAAAAATACACATTAATTTAAGAACTGAAACCCCACTTTTATTCTAAGAACTAAGACAAATGATTTGTTTTAAAAGATTTTGTGACATCCAATGTGAGGACAACATTGTTCATCAAGAAAGTAAAGTCTGCAAATGAGGAAAGCTAGACTTACACGCAAGGGCTGAAATAAACCAAAGACTAAACAATAGTTATGGAATGAACAGTTTCAATACAGTCCATAATGAGATAAGACTTCTGGTTTAAAAAAAAAAAAGCACTATTAAAAATGCACAAATTATTATGCTTTAAATAATAATGCAAAATTAAATGTTATGGATCTGGATGTGTTCAGGCTAATTTACAGCACGACAAATTTATGGCAGTATTATCTATTACAATTGAAAAATATTCTTTGTAAAAACAGACTACCTTTATTCATTATGGATTAAGATGTCCAGGATTAAATCTATAAAATTCAGCAAACACCAAAAGGGCATAGAGATTATGAGTGTAAAAAAACATTTTTTAAATAAGGAGTTCATAATCCACTTATTTCTGTCTTGATATACAAAATTTACATAACCAATTATTACCAATATCTGAACTACAACTCCTTAATTTTTACAGAGATTAAAAGCTCATTCTGATAATATGATTTTCACATGTAGAAAACCAGATCACAAAACTTCTGAAAAAAAAACTGTCCAGTGTTATATGAATGTTTTCAATATTGAACACCAGAGAAAAATCTGAAGTAGTGATTGGTATCAGAGAAGCTGTATAATGTTCACATACCGTTTTAGAATTGCTAGTGATAAAAATACAGTTTGAATATCAGAGAATAAACGGGAAATATAATTTTGACTAATTCACAAAAAACATCCCAATAGTTGGTCAATGACTATTTGGATCACAGCATAAAATTCAGAGCTCTTATGGCTTTCAAAACTAGATTTAATTTCTTACAGGAGGATGGAGGAAATTGGAATAAAGAGACATGAATGACACATACATATTACTTGTATATAACGAAAAGGTTATGATTAAGGAAAAGTATCCAACCTCAAGAACAGTGATGTACTGGACAATATTTACAGCTAGACAATCAGAAATGAATGATGATAAGAAATTTCTGAATAGAAGAAGAATGAAAATATTTGATGTATTTTATAAATAAATAAAAACAGCCGCATGCTTGTAAACATATGCATGCTTTTGCTTTTCACTGGATGTCCAAAAGCCATATTTGTGAAGGCTTGTAAAGGCAGAACAGAGACATACAGATGGGTATTATCATTCATTTAGTAACTCTGGCATATATAAAGGTGACTAGTAGGATTTTTAAGGTAATGAGGCACAAGAGTCAACCACTTTCAAAGGAAGAGAGCTGTCTAAGTGCTTTTTGAAGTTTAAACTCTGATGACATTGTTTTCAAACTTATTACAAAACCATTTTATCCAGAAACAAGAAACCTGGATAAAGCCACTTGAAAAAAAAAGATTACACACAAACTTGCAAGGTAAATTTGGAGTCTAAGCCTTGTTAAGAAAAAAGGACAAGGCAGTCCTTTTATCAGCAGAGAGGCAGCCTGACAAGATGGTGATTGACATGAAAGTGCGTATGAAGCAAAAGTGTATAACTGAAATCCTCCATGTGGGAAAAAAAATGGTACCTAGTGACATTCTTCAATGATTGGTGAATGTTTATGGAGACCAAACAGTGGATGTTAGTACAGTGAAAGTTTGACTGCATTGGGAACATTTTCCTAGCAATGACACCATCATAGCAGATGTAAAGCAGTAAGTCACCTCAGCTGGTGCATTTTATAAGTGCAGCATGCAGGCACTTTTTCATTGCTAGCAAAAATGCATAGTTACTGGTGGTGACAATGATGGAAACTAATGTGTCATAGCTGAGAATTTGCTCCATCAAATATTATTGTTGAGTTCTTCGTATTTGTTTTAGTTTCTATGGAAATAAATAGTAGACATCACCTTCAGAGCAGTCTTTATACAAAGACAGCTTACTGAACATGCTTTTTTAACTTACCCTACTGTTAATATTAAAAAAAAAAAAAAAAAATTTAAAAAAAAAAAATTAACAATTTAAAAAAAACAAAACACTTCAACAACAACAAAGCAACAGCATAATATCAAAACAGTATCTGGTACTATTATTAACCATTACTATTATTAACAGAGACTAGAGTAGAGCTTGGTCATGTTAACAATTTTAAAGATAGAGAAAAGTAAGCATTCTCTATTCCAAGGTACATAGCATTCAAATAGAAATAATACATCACAGGAGAATCAGAGGAAAGTAAAAAATTCTCTGTGAAAGTATATTTTCTTCTTAACTCGTCACAGTTGATTAAATGATTGCTACATGTTCACATAGAAGAATGTCTTTAATTAACAAGCCATTAATGGGCTGATCTATTTCCCTAAACCCCAAGGATGCAAAAAACATTTTACTTTCTCTGTAGAGAGAAATTATGAAGATGCCAGTTTTTCATAATATTGATATGTAAGAAAGATAAAGATATTAATATGAAAGAAAGACAATCTTGGTCTAAAGAAGCATCTCTGCAAATCAAATGGAATGTCATCAAGATGACTGGGGGTCATAGCATACAACATAGGGGCATGGCAAATCTGATAGAACTGAGACTGTTCCTCTTTAACAAAACAAGCTGCCAGAGAATTTAACATGGTCTTCAGGTACCCCAACTGGAGGGCATAAAGATAGAATAAGGTTTCTCCTAGAGGAGTGCAGCAGAAGGCCAAGGCCACAAGTAGAAAAAAAGAAAATTCCAGCTGAATAATTAAGAAAAAGTTTTTCTCTGTAAGAGTAGTTCAACACTGCAAAATGTGTCTAGAAAACTATGGAGTCTCCAACTTTAGTTGGAGTCCAAATAGGAAGGGGAAAAGCCCTAAGCAACTTCCTCTCCCTGACCTGGCTATGACAAGGGATTGAAGCAGATGACCTACAGACCTTTCTTCCAAATGTTTTTTTCCCATGGTTCTAGAATAAAGAGTTTCTACTAAACTTAGTTCTATAGAATTTTTTAGCTTGCCATCTTTTAAATGACACTGTGAAAAGAAAAACATAAGGAATTTTGAGTATCTTTTGTCTCCATACAGAATCATACACTGAATAAAATAATACAGAAAAGGAAAAAACTACCCAAATAAGCTCTAAGGAAGAGAAGCGGTCACTGTGAATGCCCTAAGGCAAGACACTGGATTATATCAGCTCTGAGAGAACAGGAAAGAGGAAAGACAAAATAAAAAAAATGATATTTTTTGGCCTAGTTTCCAACCAGAAAAATACACCTATGGCACTTGAGCCTGAAATATATTTTTTTAATACTAGTAACAAGGAAACAAACAAAATATCATATGCAATTTAAAAATATATAAACAAAATGTCCAGTTAGGTATGAAGAATATGAATACAAAAAACACAGAATATCAACACAGCTATGTTCATTAAAAATAGCTTTGCAAATATAAAAAGAACTAGAATTCACAGAAAAAAAATATTACTGCAGTGATTTACAAGCCAAACATTTTAGGTTTCAGAAGCTTTTTAGGCGCACATAATCTATTTAATGAGAAACTTATCCTGAAATACTGAGATGAAACATAAGTTTCCCTACCTGAATCATGGACTCTGAGAGTAGTGTTTCATCTACTTGCAAAATCATCATTTTAATTTCTTCGTAAGGCACTCGGAAAGATCCAAGGAAAATTGCTAAAATAAAGATTCAACCAACAGTGAAGAACGCAAGACAACAACAATCTTTTTTCTACTTGTAGAGTATTAGTTAAACAGGCTCTGGCATCTGCAAGTCAACAAGCACTACATAAAGAAATATAGGTAAGAGAAAACAAAACATTTTTAATTACTCTTCTCCTATAATTTCAGCCTTTTCCATTTGTTTGGTAAACATAACATTTGGCATTGTGGAAGATAACCAGTGACAAGTCTACTCTCAAGAACAATTGCTGCCACCATATTAGCTTTTGCAGTGATTACGATTGCACATTTTTCTTGACCAGTCTTTTCACAGAAGAGCAGCTTGAGAAGATTACAACTAGCAAAACTATAAAGCAGTTAAAAGATTAAAATATTCTAATAAAAACTGTTCATTTCTAAAATATAACCAAATAATTTCCTGTTTCAATTCTGCCAGCATTTTGTTACCTATTCACAGAATTACAGAAACACCAAGGTTGGAAAAGACCTACAAGATCACACAGTCCAACCATCCACCTATAACTAATAGTTCTCACTACACCATGTCCTTCAATGTCCAAAATTTCATTGTAGCACTCCTCTCTGCCAAAACTTTAGCATCCTTTTTTTGTATATTAGTAGGCCTAATTATTGTTTTACTCCTACAAAACTCTTGAGAAATGACTATGCATTACAGTCTTTTTTAACTTTTTGGCTAAGGGACAATATGATACACAAATACACTGATGATAAAAATAGATACACAGGTATACAGCTGTACCAAATCGTTCAGGCACATAGAGAATAATTTGAGTCTTAAATGAAGGATATTGCTTTGCTGTTTTCTGCTCTTTTTATAAGAACATGTTTAAATTCTTGCACATTTGAGCTTAACACCAATTAGTACACGTATAAGCATATTCTCAAACACTTTAAACAAAAAGTGATTGTGAGGCAGTCAAACAAAAGAGAAAAATTTTTATGGAACATTTATGACATTACTTTGTCATAAAAACAGATTCTACTTACACAGATTCTGTGCAATTTTGGGGTCCAAAACTTTTAGTTCTTTGATTCGTTTCTTAATGGATTTCTTTTCTTCAAAATCTTCCTCATCTTTTTTTACTACCAAAGTAAACATAAATATACTTACAGTTAACTTTTGATATTTAGAGAAAAACTAATGAATGCACACTACACTAAATGAAGTCAATTCATAAATAAAAGAACAAAACATTGAACATGCAGACGAAAATACAATGGTTTTCCACTTTTGCTTGTGTTCTTCAAGTTTCTGTTCCAGTCAAATTTGCCAACATTTTAGCTTTCTAGAATAAGTTTGTTCACTTAATATATAAGTTGAAAGAAGATGCCAGTATTGATTATTGATTACATCTGAAGATATAAACCCAAAAAATTAACATGCAGTGGCAACACACTTTGGCCAACATCCAAAGTTATTTGGCTCTGTAACCAGTTTTGTCTAAACACTGATTCACAACAAAATCAATATTGTTTGGAATATAACTGTATAAATACTTATATATACTTATTTTCCTTACCTCCTCTAAAAAAGTTTTTGTTGTTGTTTGTTTTTAGTTTAATATATGTAATCAGCTTCTAAGTAAATATCATAAAGGCAAAATGACTGCATAAACATACTCTGATTTTGGAAATTCTGTATTGTTCTTTCAGAAAAAAATGCATTGAAAGAGGATCTTCCAAATATTTTTTAAAAAACTGAATATTTCTCATTATTTAAATACTATCATAAAAATTTCACTTAAAATAACAGCAAATGCTTGATAACGTATTACTAGGATAAGAATCATTCCAGCTGTTATGGAAACAAAACAAACAAAAAAAAAGGACAAAAAAAAAAAAAAAAAAGATTAAAATTACAAAAATCTTTCTTTAAATCTAATCTATGGTGGAGTTTTTTTGTTTTTTAAATTCAGCACAGACCTTCACTGTCAAATGTTATTCACTCACTGTATTACTATTCTTTATCTAATTATTTATAACATTTAATATTTGAAATAAATTTCCAAGCTTTTACAGCATGATTGTCCTAAATTGTTATACATGCTTCAAATATTTGAGTTGAAAATATATGCCCAATTCCTTACAAAATAATAAACTCCAAAATAGATTTGATGATCAGGGATTATGTTCATCAGGCCTATTATCACTTTTCACATGCACTGCCACATAGATACTGAAACTGTTCTGTGCCTTAGTAAGTTGTAAAGATTAAAATTTCTGCCTCATTTCTGATTCTTGACAAAAACAGATGTAACATGAATTACCAGGAAAATTTCCCTAAAATGGAATCACTTCTGTAAATTTTCACAGAATTGTAGAATCACCAAAGTTAGATAGGATCTCCAAGACCATCCAGTCGAACTGTCCACCTATGACCAATACTTCTCCATTAAACCACCTCCCTTAGTACAGCACCTAAGCGTTCCTTAAACACCTCCAGGAATGGTGATTCAATCTCCTACTGAGTAGCTCATTTCAGCACCTGACCATTCCTTCAGATAAGAAATTTTTCCTAATATCCAACCTGAATCTCCTCTGGCGCAACCTAAAGACATTTCCTCTAGCTCTATTATCACACCAGTTACACGGGAGAAGAGGCTGACCTCCACCTCACCACAACCTCCTTTCAGGTAGTTATAGAGAGCAATAAGGTCTCCCTTGAGCCTCCTCTTCTCCAGACAAAGCAATCTCAGTTCCCTCAGCCGTTCCTCATAAGGCCTGTGCTCCAGATCCCTCTCATCCTTTGTTGCCAATCTCTGAAGACACTCCAGGGCCTCAATGTCTTTCTTGCAGCCAGAGGCCCAAAACTGAACACAGTACTCGAGGTGTGCTCTCACTAGGACTGAGTAGAGGGGGAAGATCACTTCCCTATTCCTGCTGGCATTGCTATTTTTTATACCAGTCAGGATGCCATTGGCCTCCTTCTTGGCCAATGCCCAGTTCCAACCTGGGCACACTGGTGGCTCACGTTCAGCTGAGCATCAATCAATACCCCCAGGTCCATTTCCTCTACACAGTCTTCCAGCCAATCTGCCCCAAGTCTGTAGCATCACCTGGGGTTGTTGTTGCCAAAGTGCAGGACCTGGCACTTGGTATTCTTGAACTTCAGCCCATTGGCCTCAGCCCAGTGATCCAGCCTATCCAGGTCCCTCTGTGGAGCCTTCCTACCCCCAGGCAGATCAATGCTTCCAGACAACTTGTTGTCATCTGCAAACTTACTGAGGGTGCACTGAATGCCATCATCCAGGGCATCAATAAATACATAGAACAGGATATGCTCTAGTACTGACCACTAGGGAACACCATTGGTGATTCATCGACAGCTGGATTTGACCCCATTCACCACCACTCTCTGGTTCTGGCCATCCAGCCAGTTCTTTACTCAGCAAACAGTATATGTCTTCAAGCCATGGCTGCCAGCTTCTCCAGGAGAACACTGTGGGAGACAGTGCCAGAGGTTTTGCTGAAGTCTAGGTAGATTACATCAACAACCTTTCCCTCATCCACCAGGCAGCTTACTCAATCACAGGAGACGAGGTTGGTCAAGCAGGACCTGACTTTCATGAATACATGCCAGCTGGGCGTGATACTCTTGTCCTACACGTGCCATGTGATCTCACTCAAGATGACCGGTTCCATAGCCTTCCCTGCCACCAAGAGAAGGATGACAGGCCTGTAGTTTCCCAGATCCTCTTTATGACTTTTTTTGTAAATGGAAGTCACATTTGCAAGCCCCCAGTCGTTGGGACCAGGACCATTGGTAGACAGTGGAAAGAGGCTTTGCAATCATCTCTGCCAGCTCTGTCAGCACTCTGGGGTGAATCCCAACTGGCTCCAAGGACTCCAGTTGGCATAGTAGGTCTCTTCCATTGGAATCATGAGGGGTTTATTCTGCTCCCCATCCCAGACTTCCAGATCAGTGGGTACAGTACACCGAAGATAACTAGTCTGACTTTTAAAGACAGATGTAAAGAAGGCATTGAGAACCTCAGCCTTTGCCTTATCCTCAGTGGTCACATTTCCTGAAGCATTTACTAAAGAATGGAGATTCTCCTTGGTCCTTTTACAGCCAACATATTTGTAAAAAAGTATTTTATTCTCTTTTACTACATTGGCCAGGTTGAGTTCATGCTGGGCTTTTGCCTTTCTAATTTTCTCCCTGCACGTCCTAACAATTTCTTTGTATTCTCCCCGAGGCCTCCGTCCTCAGGAGGCACTCTCTTTTCTTCCTGGAGCCACAGAAAAAGTCCCCTGTTCATCCACATCAGTTGTCTTCTCCAACCAACTTATTTTATAGCTTATGCACACACCCTGCTCCTGGGCCTTTAACACTTTCTTCTTGAGGAGTCTCCAGTCTACCTGGATCCCTTTATTATCATCACAAAATCATAGAACTGTAGGATGGCCTGGGTTGAAAAGGACCTAGATCATCTAGTTTGAAGCCCCCCCTGTGGGCAGGGTCACCGACCACTAGACCAGGCTGCCCAAAGCCACATCCAGCCTGGCCTTGAATGCCTCCAGGGATGGGGCATCCACAACCTCCTTGGCCAACTTGTTCCTGTACATTACCAACTTCTGAGTGAAAAACTTCCTCCTAATATCTAATCTAAATCTCCCCTGTGTTAGTTTAAAACCATTCCTCCTTGTCCTATCACTATCAGCCATGTTCAAAGTCCACCCTCCAGAAGTTCAAGGTAGCAGTTTTGCTGACCCGCCTCCTGACTTCACTAAGAATAGACAACTCTACCATTTTTTGGTTGCTCTGCCCAAGCCAGTTCCTGATCTCCACCAATCCTTCTCTGTTCACGAGCAGCAGTTCTAATGGGGCACCTTCCCCAGTAGGGCTCTCTTACCAGCTGCTTCAGGAAGTTGTCTTCCACACACTCTAGAAATCTCCTAGATTGCTTATTCTGCTCTGTATTATGTTTCCAGTATATATCAGAAAAATCAAAGTTCCCCATAAGAATAAGGGTGATTACACAACTTTGCCAGCTGCTCTTAGAATGCCTCATTCATCTCTTCATCCTGTTAGGCAGTCTATAACAGATCCTCACCAGGTAGTCCACTATGTTGACTCTTCACAATCCTTACCCATAAAGATTCACCCTTATCATTCCCAGCCCTGAACTCTCCAACACTGAAACTCTATAACATACAGAGCCACGCTACTGTCCCTCCTTCCTTGCCTATCACCATTTCTGATTGGCCTGTACTTGGACATAGATTCATTGATCACAATCCTCTGGCTGCAGCCATCCAACCAATTCTTTATCCACTGAGTAATCCACCCTTCAAATCCATATTTCTCAAATTTAGATATAAGGATCATGTCAGAAGCCTTACTGAAATATAGACAAATGACAACAGTGGCTGTACCTCTGTCCACCTCATAGAAGGCCATAGGATTTGTCAGGCACAGTCTGTCCTTGGTAAAGCTGTGCTGGCTGTCTCATATAGCCTCCTCATCTCACATGTGCCTTAATATAGCTTTGAGAAGCATGTGCTACATCATCTTCCAGGAACAGATGTGTAGCTCACTGGCCAGTAGTTGCTCAAGTCTTCCTTTCTCCCCTTCTTAAAAATGAGAATGTTGTTTCCTTTTTTTCCAATCACTAGGGACTTTGCTTAAATTTTCTTAACAGTCACACTAAAATAGTGAAGTTATCTGAATTTACTGAAACTTGACTCGGTAGCCTTGAACTAGAACTACTAAGAGTTGAAATATAAAAAAATATTTACCTTTTTCAAAAGTGGAAAACAATATCTAGGAACTACAGGTCCCAAAACAGTGGTAATACACAAATACACAAACGTTAAAAAAGCCCACAATCTCTCAAAAAAAACATCAAACACACTAGAAGTTAAACACATCATTTTATCTCTCCACCATGATATTGAGAAACAATGCTGCCAATGAACTTTTTCCCTCTGGAATTTTCACCAAGAAAGAAGCTATGCACAAAGTTACAGCAGTGTGTAAAGCATCACAACCATAAACTAAAATATATAAGTATAGAAAATACTCAGAACTCATACTGGAATTGTATGTAGTTATACAAGTATGCAACAAACTAAATTAC